CTACAAGTACCTAAAAACTAAATAAATATTGCAACTTTATAAAGTGTTTAAATGAACTTTAAAGAAAAAGAAACTGAACACTTTATTCCGCTGACATTAAACTTGCATTCAAATATAATCAAAATTTCAAACGATCCCCAAAATTATTATCCAACCTCACTTTAAAACAGTTCTGATTTCTTTAAAGAAAACTAACTACTCGCAAAATAATCGGTGAAACTGGAATATCAATCCTCTCTACGGAAGTTAAGGTACGTACTATTCTATTTTTAATTTAATGATCATTAATATTTTCAATTTTTAAGGCCTATCGCAATTATGTTAATTAATGAATTTTAATTTTCTCAATTTAATTGACATTTCTATACTCCAATATAATTTATAAGTCAAATTGTTTCTCTTACTCTCTGGAACAAATTCTGGATATCTCTGCTGTGGAAACTGTGGAAAAACTAAATTCTAATTAGACGAGTTAAAAAACACTCCCGACCTATTCCACAGTTTCAGGGCTCTCCTCGTCCAAAAATCCTCGTCGGCGTCCCCAAAAAAACCCATTATTATCCGTTGCTGTATCCGTTGCTAACAGCAACCAACGTTCTTTTTTCTTTTCGTCTTCTATTTTATTAAACCATAAAACGGTCCTGTTCTGATACATTTATCAATCCACATTAATTTCTCATAATCACTTTAATCACATCTAATTTGGGAATTTATAAAAAAAATGTTCAGATATAAAACTTATTCTATTACAATACTAATACAATTTATTCTTTTCATCTCCACATCATTGTAATTTCTTATTTAACAAAACCCCTATTAATTTTGCTCCCACAGACTTGCTTGACAGTTTATTTTCTGACGTTTATTAAAATTTCTATGTTTAAATATTTTTTTAAGAATTCTTCTTTTTTGTTCTTTTTAAGGTTTAGACGATTTACCTATACACTAGGCAACTATACTATTCAGAAATTATTAACACTATACCAGGTAAGTCAAAATTAATTTATTTAACAATTTACTAATCTTTTTCTCTCTTTTATTTCAGAGTCGAACCCACATTGTGATGGCTTCATGAAATTCATGAACAACAAACTCATATAAAAATCCATTTAAGTTGTATATTTTTTAACATATTGAAATCATTTCAATATATTATGACTAATTCTGTTTTTGTTCTAGTCGTTTCGACGTTTGTTTACAGAAACCTCTAGATCCCAATTTTGATGAGTCATCCACGACTCGAGGTTTTTCAAGCAGTTGAAAAACTAGTTTCAGCCATCGACCGCCTTCACCAAAATACCAGTCTATTCGATGGGGTTTCATTCTAATGAAGAAGGTCGTCGATCTTTCTAGATAACAGCAGTTTGTGTATATAAACGAAACATTTTATTTGAAAGAGCAGTTAGTAAGAAGATAAATTCGTGCTGCGTATTTAAATGTACGTCGTAATTAATTATTGTAAAATAAATTAGTATTAATAAAGACTTTAATAAATTCGTGAGTGTTATAAATATTGAAACTTAAGTAAATTAAATTAAGAACTATAAATTAGAATTAATAAAAATACAACAATATACCCTCTCGAGGGAGGTATTTCAATCAGAATTATTATTTTCTTTCCTTCTTTACATGAACTCAGAGTAATACAAAAATATTTTGTAGTATTTGAATATGGAATTTGATTATTTATATTTATTGGAATATTTATTTTAAACGTTTTTGTTAGTAAAGTTTACATAATATACAGAGTGGCCCAAAACTTTGGAAACGGCTAATTATCTCGTAAAATGCTAATCATAATTGTACAAAATTTGAGGTACACCTATTTTGGGATACGGAGATTCCATATTTGATATTTACAATGTTGACAGATTTGCCGTTTTTCTTATATTATTAGTAACTTTGGTTTTTCAAATACATCACCCTGTATATTCAGTCATTATTGGAATCTCCTATTCAATACGAGTTCAACCATATGTAACACTTATGATTTTATGTAGTCTGGAATGTCATAAATACATAAAATCGAAGTCTGGCAATGCCTAAATTGTTTCAATAAATTTTTTAATACTAACTATTTTCAAATACATTAAAACGTAACAATTGATAGTTTGGAACATTTTTTAACATAGTAGTTACGTTATTAAGTGTTCAAAATGTGCTCAATTTGTGAGTTGACAGCACCCTAATCGATGGTAGAAGGCGTCTACCACATTTCTCCATGATTGTCTAGAAATTATTCAAGATTCATTGATAATTCGTTGCCTTAGCTCTGCAAGACTAAGAATTAAGCTCTACGTTAAGTTTTGTAAACTGAATTTTTCAAGTATTCCTAATAAAAATAATCTTTAGGATTGAAATCGGGTGAACGTGGAGGCCATTCAATTCTATCTTGTCTACCAATTTATCGTCCAGGAAATGTCTCATCTAAATATCGCCAAACATTTACACCAACTATCTGACGTTAAATTTCTTTCGACAAAAAATGACCCGATTGAATAAGTAACTACTATATCTGACCATACATTTAATTTTTGTGGTCTTTAAGTATGGTTTTCACGCATTCAGTCTTCAGTGTGAATTTACGTCACACCAGTACCCTAAATTGTGTCGATTTACACTTCCACACAGTGTAAAAGTTGCTTCATCGGAAAAACATCATTCTGTTAACGAAATTTTAATAATTTTCAATTTTATCAATCATTACCTCAGTAAACTCTAATCTACGACCAAAGTAATCTTCACTTAAGTCTTGCAATAAGTTAATTTTGTATGATTTAAATTTATTTTTACGTAATAAACATAAGACTGAAGAATGACCTACATCATGAACTTGTGCAACCCTGCCTGGGGATGTATGTGGATCTTCAACAAAACTTTGCTTATATCTGAAGTTTTGTTGTCATTGATAACTCGTTTCGATCAACCTCATCGGTATCTATCTTTTAGTTCTCCAGATTCCTCAAATCGCCTTATAGTTTTTTGTACCGTCGTCTTATGAATAGGAGAACGGTTTAGAGAACGGCATTTTAGAGAAGCAGTTTAAATTGCAGAACTTTTTGAACCACAACTACTGTCAATTTTAGTTCATAATATAAATCGTGAACAAATGTCAAAATCACAGCATTCTCCATTTAAATATTTAAATTTATTAAAATCTACATATTTTGCACTGTTTTATGTATTTAAGATCTTTCAGACTACATAAAATCAAGTGAACATATGGTTGAACTCGTATTGAATAGCTGAACTCGTGTGAAATTCACACTGAATGCGTGAAAATAATACTCAAAGACCACAAAAATTAAATGTATGGTCAGTTATAGTAGGTACTTATTTAATTGGGCCATGTTTTATCGAAAAAAATTTAACGTCAGATAGTTGGTGTAAATGTTCGGCGTTATTTAGATGAGATATTTCCCGGACGATAAATTGGTAGACAAGGTAGAATTGAATGGCCTCCACGTTCACCCGATCTCAATCCTAAAGATTATTTTTATTAGAGATATTTGAAAAATTCAGTTTACAAAACTTAACCAGCAAGTCTTGCATAGCTAAGGCAATGAATTATCGATGAATCTCGAATAATTTCTAGACAATCATGGAGAAATGTGGTAGACGCATTCTACCATCGATCAGAGTGCTGTCAACTCACAAATGGAGCACATTTTGAACACTTAATAACGTAACTATTATGTAAAAAATATTCTAAACTATCAATAATTGTTACATTTTAATGTATTTGAAAATAGTTAGTATTAAAAAATGTATTGAAACAATTTAGGCGTTGCCAGACTTCTGTTTTATGTATGTAAGACATTCCAGACTACATAAAATCATAAGTGTTACATATGGTTGAACTCGTATTTAATAGGAGATTCCAATAATGACTGAATATACAGGGTGATGCATTTGAAAAACCTAAAGTTACTAGTAATATAAGAGAAACTGAAAATCTGGCAAAATTGCAAATACCAAATATGGAATGTCCGTATCCCAAAATAGGCGTATCTCAAATTTTGTATAATTATGTCTAGTAGTTTACGAGATAATTAGTCGTTTCCAGACTTTTGGGCCACTCTGTATGAAGTTTGTTTCGTCACTTGCTTGTCCAGTCATATTAATCCAGGGTAATAAGGATTTTTTCGCGACACTTAATAATCCAGGTAGCTGACAACTTTTTTAGTTATTGTAGACATATAAGAAGAAAACCTACTTGTTTTCTGGCTAAAGTTCGGAGGCGTTTTTTAATGATTAACAATTTAATCCAAAAAAACGCGATTTTTTCGATTTTTGGACTCCATTAGAAAGCTAAAACATAAAATTACAAAATTTTATTTTTTAGTATATTGACAAAGCTTCAAACTGTCGATTTTTGTAGGTTGAAAAGTCAATTTGTTGCTTTGAATGTTGACGCCATGTTAAAGAATGGGATTTGTATTTTTTGTTAAAAAATTTGCAAAAACATTGTACCTTTGATCATTCTTTTTTTAATTTGTATGTAATTTCTACGTACATTACAAATATGTAATTTGTTTATATATTAATTAATTCATAAATAGTCTAGTTTGTTTAAACAATTCGTGAAAAAATAATTTTCTTCCAAAAATCTATTTTTGGTATAAATGGTACTCATATTATTTATAAGACTATTTGCATGAAATTTTACTCTTGCTGCACATGAGCTAATATCTTTCAAGAGGCTGCGTTCTTTCGTTGGTATTGCATAATCTTTTTCTGGTTATTTTCTGTGACAAAAATAATCTGTGCAATTCGAATACTTTCCAATTACACGAAGATGACTATTAGATATATCATACATTTACCACAAGTCCTAATTCACTTGCCGCGTCTGGAATGCTATGCCCAGAATCGCGAGGAACGGCCATAAAATGAATTTCCATCAAGTAACGATCGAATCCATCACTTAGATAAGAAAAAGAGCTGTTTATTATTTATAAATTCGAATTTTTATTTATTAAATGTAATTTAATGTTTAGGTGCATTACATAAACGACAGAGAACGAGGACACGTATGGGAACAAGTTCTTATAATGCTTCCAGCACAAGTGTGTGTGGTTTTGCTTAGCGCTACAGTACCGAATACAATCGAATTTGCGGATTGGTTGGGAAGAACCCATCAAAGAAAAGTTTATGTAGTCTCGACACATCAAAGACCAGTACCGTTAAAGCACTTTCTTTATACGGGTAAGGGTGGGAGTACACGGGACAATAGGTTTATGATTTTAAACGCTGATAAGTGGATTTTAAACGGGTAAGCAAAAGTTTTCTTATTTAAGTAGTTGTTGTAATATCAAAGTAAACTACAGTTTATGCTTAAATTTATTATTAAAATGAATAACTAGAATATGCCTAAATAAATATTTAAAATTTTAAATTCCTAAAATTTAATATGCTGTATATAATAATATCTTATACAGTGGGTGATCAAATTATTAGAGCCACCTAGCAAAATTTATTTTTTTACAAAAAGGGTCTATAATTGAGCTTTATAATATATTAATGCGTTTGTTTCCATTTAATTATCTTTACACACTTTATGAAAGTACTGTAAATAATCTGACAATAGTGACAACACAGCAGGCGTGGCAATACGTGACTCAGTGCTGTTCAGTCTATCTTGCAACTCGTGTGCATATTATTTTGTATTCTTGGTGTATAGAGTTGTAATAAATAGTTTCCATTACTCTCTAGTGATATTCTGACGGTCTTATGCTATTTTGTTGAATTTAGCAAACACTGCATATTCGTTACACCAGTGGTACCAGAACATCATGAGAAAAGCTGAAGACATCTCGCCAAGGATAATAACGGAAATAAAAACTTTATTAAACAATAATCACTTCAACAGAAAAATAGCATCAATTTCTAAAGTTTTACAAGCAACTTTGGACTGTACAAAGCAAAAACTTGACGAAAATTTGGACAATCAGAGCTTTCCAAGGCATGAATCCCATTATAGTAGAAACAAATCCCGTCGATTCTATTTATCTTCAGATCTAAATGTAAAGAAGATGCATCAACTCTATTTGGAACTTTACGAACCAGACAATATTAGAAATCCTAAATATAAACCCAAAGTTTTCTATGACTTCTACTATCGATACTTCAAAGAAAACTACAGGTTTGGCTCACCTCGATCAGATACGTGCAAAATATGTAATGTCTTAGATAGCAAACTCAAAGATGTGACCCTCGACGAAAATGAGCGAAAAGTTTTAGCAGCGGAAAAGAAGGTGCATAAATTAAAGCCGATTTGTTTCTCAATGAGCTGAAGGAGAAAACCACATTGTGAAAGAATAACGACGAAGTGAAGGTTCAGACCTTTGACTTCCACTTCCAAAAATTCCTGCTGAGGAAGCTTTCTACAAACGCCAGTTGTGGACATACATCTTCTGCGTCCATTCTGGTAAGACGAATCAAGCACATTTTTATATGTATGATGAAACTACGGCTCGAAAGTCACTAAACGAGGTAGTGTCATTTTTGTACCACTATATAAAAAATATATTCCCTAAAAATGTTATTTATACCTTTTCTCCGATAACGCTGCTGCCCAAAACAAAAACTCAGTAATGATTCGGTTTCCGTTTGACAAGATAGAGCACCACTTTCCTGAGCCAAGACACAACTTTCTTCCCTGTGATCACTGCTTTGGAGTTATTGAGAAGTTTTTAAGGAAGAAGAACTACGTTTTTAGCCCCCAACAATTTTCTGATTTTGTTAAACAATCATCCAAACAGTTTATTTCCATTCTGGTAAAACAAAATATGATCCTGAACTTTAGTGGTCACTATGAAGGATATTTTAAAAAAGTTATCTCAGATGCAGACAAGCAAAGATTCCAGATTTGCAAATACCAAATTTTCCAGTACAGCAATGAACATTTAGATGGTTTTAAAGTCAGTATATCTAGTGGCCTTCCGAGTTTTCGCTTATTTCAAATCTTGAGAAACCTTGACAGCGATCTCTCAGTCTCTTCTGATATTCCTATTTATTGCAATCCTATACCTGTCAAAAAAGCCAAATATGCAGATGTAATGCAGTTGGCAACACGATTCGTTCCTATGGACCAAATGGCTTTTGACACCCGTCTCACAAGTGATGCAGCCATGGCAGACAACCAGAAAACCGAATCATCTGGAACGGATGATGACGACCACGTAGATGAATGAAGGATGTGTTTACCCGTGTGTTTATTGTTTAATTTTTTTTTTCCGAATGCTATTTTTGTGACACCATTTCTTTTTACAGATTTTTCGTATTTGTGTATTAGGCAAACCATAGTGGTTTGATTGTTGTAACCGAATAAAAGAGTTTTTGTTGGTCATTTTTTTTTTCTTAAAAACCATGGTAAATAAGCATTATTTCACGTGTTTTTGCTCAACATTGCTCAACATTGGCTCAACAATCTTCCAATATTACGTTACGTAATACTTGAACGTACTGCCAGCACATGCTTCCAGCGAAAAAATATTCATAAGGGAACGTGGAGATCTCCAGATGGGGTCACAGTAATCATGATCGATCATGTTATTATTGACTCTAGACATCACTCAGACTTAATAAACGTATGCAGCAGAAGAGGGGTAAATGCAGACTCGGGTCACTACCTATTGGAAAGTAGAATAAGAGCCAGAATCTCAAACATTAAAAAAGAAAAGGAATTCAAAATTGAAAAATATGAAATAAAAAACTTAGCAGACAACAGCAAAACGGCAAAATACAAAGGATATATAAAAAAAAGGAAATTCCAGAAACCAGAAAATTCTACCAAAAACTTAAAAGTAGAAAAGAATTTAAACCAAGAACAATTATGTGTAGAGACAAAGAAGGAGATATAATAACTCAGAAGTCCACAATAGATCAGATCTTCGTCTTGAGGCAAATCTTGGAAAAGAATAATGAATTTAATATAGACACACATCATTTTTTCATTGACTATGAGAGTGCCTATGATAGCATCCATCGAGAATTTCTGGTCCATGCACTGAAAGAGTTTAATATTCCAACTTAACTCATTGATATAGTAAAAGAAACACTTAAAATACAAAGCAAAATTCGAATTCAAAACGAACTAACAGATATAATCCATGTGAGAACGGGCCTACGACAGGGAGATGCCCTATCCTGTATTCTATTCAACATCACATTAGAGAAAATAATTAGGAACACCAGAAGAACAATAATAACAAAAAGAGTACAAATATTGCCATTTGCAGATTATGTTGATATTGTAGCTAGAAGCGAAAAAGAGATGATAGAAGCATTTATTGCGACACAAAACAGTGGCCTAAACATTAACGAAATAAAAATCGACAGGCCAAAGAAACCTACAGAATCTGACAATAGGAGACTATAACATCGAAAGCGTGAAAAGTTTTACATATCTAGGTTCACTAGTTATCGCAGATAACAATATCAGTGAAGAAGTTAAGAGAAGAATACATATCGCTAATAAAACATATAATGGACTGATTAAACATTCAAGATCTAACAACATCACAAGAAAAACCAAATGCAAAATATACAAGACCCTGATAAAACCGGTCCTTGTATATGGATCAGAGACATGGACACTGTCTAAAAGCGATGAGAACCTATTAGGTACATTTGAACGAAAAATCCTTAGACACATATATAAGGGGGTAAAGGAAAATTACATATGGCGCAAATTATGGTACAATAACCCCAATTGTCAGCGGTATTGCAGTTCAATACTCCAGCCGATCAGCAGTTTCGACACATATTGCAGACAGGTCGTCATCAATTAATTTCATATAAATACTGTTAATTTTTATTTCAAAGTTGGTTGTAATTATATTAAATAAAAAGCTGTTACTCTGTTAGTTGTACCTTTAAAAGGGCCTTTTTAAAAAGTACCTTCGGGAGTGACAACCTTAATTGACGCATTCAGTGGATTAGTGGGAGAGTCTCCAGAAGATCCTCGTCGTTTTCAAACGTTTACCCGCTACCGAACCAAAATCCAGGGAAAACTGCAGCTGTTTAACCCACGGATTCCAATCAAATTGGCACAGAAACATATTTATGAAGAAAGCCGAAAAGAAACTTAAAGAAGAAAAGAAACTTGTACCAAAAAGGAATGTATCCAGGCATCATCCTCTACCTGTAAGCAAACTTCATCTTATTTCTAATTCTAATATCATTTCACAAGTATCATCATTTAGAATAAGCGATTCTCTTGCAACAATTTTTGAATCTAATATAGAATCTAGTGAAAATATTAAACCAGATTTATATTTAGTTGATAATAACCCTATTTTTAAGTCCAAAAACTCGTTTGAAATACCTTCAATAATTATTACTCCAGCGCCTATTTCAAATAACTCTAATATGGCACAAATTTTCGATGTTAATAAAGACCTTTCTATCGTACCAGAGTACGACGGCAAACCCAATGAACTCCACAATTTTATTGATGTTATTTCCATGCTTTTAAACCATTTCTGGGATCATACGAATCCCGAAAATTTTCAAAATCACATGCTCACCCGAGGAATTATGGACAAAATTAAAGGAAGAGCCAGAGAAATTATTTCTGTATACGGCTGTAAAGACTGGCCGTCAATAAAATCAATTCTTGTCCAAAATTTTTCAAACCAACGTAACGAAAACTCGTTAATCAGAGATTTAGTCAATCTTCGTCAAGCTCCAAACGAAAACCCGCATCAATTTCATGAAAAAGTTATGAGTCTTTTAAATACTATCTCAAATCATATTGAATTACATACAGAAATCGAGGAAGTTAAAAGAAGTAAAAAAGAATTTTTCCAGCAACAAGCTCTAACCACATTTTTGGCAGGCCTTAGAAAACCCCTAGGATCAACAATTCGATCCATGAGACCACCAAATCTCGCCCTTGCTATCCAATATATTCATCAAGAAAATAACATTAGATATCTCCAAAAAAATAATTATTCCTTATCATCTAATAAACCATCTACGACTTCACAAACACAGAGACCAAATTTAACTCATACACCCGCTCCTATACGATGGCAGCTTGAGGTGCCCAAGCCCCAATGGCCACAGCCATTCTTTAGGCCAAATCAAATGCCCCTGCAACAGCAGCCATTCAACAATAATCCAAGAGGGACATTTCAACCCCCTAGATTTCAACAAAATCAACAAATCATTCCATATGCGCAAAATTCTAGGGCTAATCAACCCAATTTTCATAAACCAATGCCATCTCAATTATATAAGCCAACACCTATGAGCATATCTACACGCCAAACCGGCTTTAATAGACCCCAATCTCAAAGAAACTTCCGCTTTCAACAAACAGCCAGCCCCCGATTTACTGTAGAAGAACTTTTTAATATCGAACAACAAGAAGAAAATAATTACGATGAAGGTATAGACAATGACACATACCCAGATTACCCTTATTATGAACAAGAAAGCCAAGAATATGAGGAAGATGTAAATTTTCAAACGTTTCCAGAAGAAAAAGAAGAAACGTAGTAGAATTACATTCCTATGCTGACAAAAGAGAGCTTCCTTATATTAAAATTCAAAACCCACCTCTTAAACTTCTTATTGATACAGGAGCCACTAAATCTTTCGTTAATCCTAATATAGCCAATAAATTCTACAAAAATAATATTAAATATGAACCATTTATTGTTACATCAATTTTTCAGAATCATTCACAAGATTATTGTGTAGAAATTCCAATTTTTCCCGAATTTAACTCGGTTATTAACTTAAAATTTTATCTTTTTAAATTTCACAAGACATTCGACGGTCTTATCGGCCTCGATAATCTTAAACTTCTAAAAACAAATCTCGATTTTACCCAAGCTACTCTTACTACAGAGAATTCTATTCTTCCTATTAATTACTATGTCACAAACAAAGCCCAATTCTATACAGTCTAGCTAGAGCCCCAAACAATTACCCAAGTCAGATTACCAGTAAAGGAAGCATCCGGTACAATCGTCATCCCAAGACAAGAAATCGAAGGTGCCATCCTAAGAGAAACTCTCACTGTTGCCTGTAATCAACTTGCCTGGACCGAGCTAGTCAATAACAGCGATGAATACATCCAAGTAGCATTAACTGATCCCATCAAAAGTCAAGCAATAAATCTCAAGGAATATCATATATATACACGTCAGATATCATACCTACCGAAGACAGTAATCAACCACAACAGAAGACATCCCTGACCAAAGCCAAGAATCCTCAGAAACAGTACACAGAGTTTTGTTCATCCCTCACAAAACTTCCTCAGGGGATGGAGAAATTATGGTACAATAACCCCAATTGTCAGCGGTATTGCAGTTCAATACTCCAGCCGATCAGCAGTTTCGACACATATTGCAGACAGGTCGTCATCAATTAATTTCATATAAATACTGTTAATTTTTATTTCAAAGTTGGTTGTAATTATATTAAATAAAAAGCTGTTACTCTGTTAGTTGTACCTTTAAAAGGGCCTTTTTAAAAAGTACCTTCGGGAGTGACAACCCTTAATTCGCAGAAGATATAACTTTGAACTATACACAGCATACCCACAGCAACCCGAGATCATAACATCCATAAAGATCGGACGTCTGCGCTGGATGGGCCATGTTGAACGGATGTTGGAGACTGAAACGCCAAAACATATAATGAGGCAAACACCAGTAGGGAGAAGGTTAAAGGGAAGACCCAATCTTAGATACATGGAACAAGATCTGAAAACACTTAGAGCTCTTGTTAACGACAACGTTCAACGTGACGTTTTTGACACCGTCCCTTTGGATGTTGCTCAGTGTCTTTCAGGTTCATATGAATGTGTGTTCACGCAACGGCAACCAACTCACGGTTAACTTTTCACCGTCTACGTAACCAGTCCCCCTCGGCAAGACGTTCGACGGGACGGTACCGTGAACCCGCAGTGAACCTTTTTAGTTTATGGAAGTGTGTTAACGGCGTTGGGTGAACATCCATTATTTCAATAAATTTCTTTCTTTGTTGCCGCTAAAATATGGATTTTGATATGGAGATTTTAATAAGTTATTTCACCAATAATTTTTATTTTATATATATATATATATATATATATATATATATATATATATTTTATATATATATATATATATATATATATATATATATTATATATATATATATATATATATATATATATATATATATATATATATATATATATATATATATATATATATATATATATATATATATATATATATATATATATATATATATCATATAATTCAGTCATAAAAACTCTGACTATAAGATCTGAACGACTAACAGACGAAGAACACAAGAAAGAAGAAATGCAGAAAGTTACAAAAGCGTTAAAAAACAACGGCTTTTCCACACACAGAATCGAAAAGGCACGAAGACCACAAAAAACAACAAAAGAAATAAAAGAAGACGACAAACCAATTGCCAAAACCACTCTACCGTATATTAAAGGCACAACAGAGAAGATAAGCAGGGTCCTGAGAAAACACAAAATAGAGACTGTCTTCAACACCGACAGAAAAATCGCAAACATATTACCATCTGCCAAGACAAAGATTCCCCTAGAAAACCAAGGAGTATACAAAATTCCCTGTGGAGAATGCGATAGAGCCTATATTGGACAGACAAATAGAAGGATCCAAGTAAGACAAGAAGAACATCGCAATACCATCGAACGAAAAGAAACGACGTCATCCCTAGCCCAGCATTCTTTAGCTACAGGACACAAAATTGACCTCAAACATACGGTAATGTTAGCGAATGTCGAAAACAAGAGAAAACGAATTATCAGAGAAGCCATTGAAATAGAAAAACAAGAAAATAATTTAAATTCTCGAGACGATGCCCAAAGATTGCCAAAAACATGGAAACCAATTATCCCGAAGAATAACGCAAGAACGGAATCGACCAAGACCCCGCCCACTGACCTGCGCACTGGACCAATTACAAGAGCGCGCGCAACGCACAGTAACTACAAAAGCCAGCTGCCTAACACCCGTAGCGTCACTTCCACTCGAACATCGACAAGAAGCAGACCATCCAGAGAGACTTGAAAATGGCAAGTGAGATCTTGCCGAAACGTCGTCAAAATGGTTTTTATCAAAACCAACAACATTTAACGCGGAGTCAATGCCGGAATACCATTGATATAACATACAGCTCCCGCGGAAATATCAAAACTAATATATATATATATATATATATATATATATATATATATATATATATATATATATATACATATATATATATATATATATATATATATATATATATATATATATATATATACATATATATATATATATATATATATATATATATATATAATATATATTATATATATATATATATATATATATATATATATATATATATATATATATTGTATATTCTTAAATCATAAAAAATCTATTAAGTTTGTAATTTTTTTTAGTTTTTTTATAACCGAAAGTTTTTATTCTGTTATACTAATAGCATAATTCATACATAGGTAACAGCTAGTCGATCAGCAGGTGCAAGGAATAGCCTCATATTATTGTCATCACGTTTTAATTTATCATATATTATTCCTAACAATTTGAGGAAAGTTTCTTGACCTATTCCGAAGTAATTAAAGAATTTTGTTTCGTCTTTTTTCAATTCTTCGTAAAGTGTATGAGCACCATACTTATCTCTTTCTAATAAAATAGGATGTATCCATATTTTTCTTTTACGTTTCTCCCGTTGCTTCTGCATTTTTTATACAAATAATAGGCTAGTATAATTTTTTTCTTTGACGACAACATGATATACCATGTATTGCATGCACTTGCTACTTTAAAACTGACGATATTCCATACCGTCAACGGACGCATATCTTTTGAAAATTATGAACCGTCAACAAGGGTACCCGTTTAGCATCGGCCCGTTACCGGTTGAAAAAAACGTTCGTTAACAAGAGCCCTTAAGATTATCAACTAAAAAAACAAAGCAAGGAATAGAACAGAATGGCAGAAAATCCTAGAACAAGCCAGGACTCAGAAAGGGTTGTCGAGCTACTGATGATGGTGATGAATGCTTGAACGTCCTCTAAGACTTTATTTTCAATATAAAGAATTTGAAATTGGTCATTAAAAGAATGATCATGATCTAGTAGGTGAAGTGCATACATAGAATTTGTCTTTCTATTATTAAAAGAGCTTTTGTGTTCTGGCATAGAGATCTACCACATTAGGCGCTTAGTAATTTTTACCTTCCGGCGAAATAGTAGAGGTCTCTTTTGATCAAATAATTATTATTGTGTTGTACTGATGCTCATTACAGTATGAATTTGATTTATAGTGATTTAATGTATTTCAGATTTATCAAAGCTAAAGATTCCGTGAAAGTGGATCCTTATAAAAATTTTAATCAAAAATTGACCCCTGCCCAAGAAAAAACCTTATGGTCGGGATTAATTTCCCATCTTAAAAAAAACGATCTTCTTCCAGTAGTGGCCTTTACTTTTTCGCGACAAAAATGTGACAATAATGCTACGAATTTAACAAGTTTGGATCTTACGACACAGAAAGAGAAAGCGCACATAACCTTGTCTTTTAATAGATGGATCAGGTAAGGTATTTTTTTAAATAGTAACTGGTTGTATATATTAATATAATAAATGTAAAGATTAAAGAAAAATAACTAACAACATACAGGCATTAAATGAGAAGTAAAAAATTATGAATGTCATTGAATTAATAACAATATTGAATCATCTGTTTAAATTTTTATGAAACTTCTCTTATTAAAATAATTTCATATAAATATAATTATTATTTTTAAACATCTTATTTAGTTTATATAATAATTAAATTTACTATAAAATGATACTTATTTATATTTTATTATTAATTTAATATTTAGTCTGAACTTGACAGATCTTTCAGAAGTAAACAACGTAGAGGTCTCGTTATTTCAGAAGGCATCTAATTTGCATATTATGAGATATGTCTAAATTGTATAAGAACCGCCTTTGAAGTTGGTGATTGGTTACTGAAATTTTAACTAAACGACAGTGGCGCGCACTATTTAGTAGTTTAATTATTAAGTTCTGAATATTGATAAGTTTAACAAAATGAATTTTTAAAGTAGCAATTAATTGTCAAGCGTATTTTCCAAAATATCAAATACCAATACAATGCCAAAATATTAAAGAGCGAGGATAATTATATGCTAATGAATGGTCCCAATTACATGTACCTAGAACTTCTACCTGATTTAATTCTTTTCGTGGAAGCCTTTTTTAGTGATATAATAAAGTCAGGTAAACATAAATATTCCTGTCTTTCGGAAAGGCCTAATTTCATGGACACGATTTAAGACATTTCTTGGAAATATATATATATATATATATATATATATATATATATATATATATATATATATATATATTAGCGATATAATAAAGACTACCGTCAATATTGCTGTGCTTCTAAAATATATGCACATCTAAATTTGTAAATGAAAAACTTTAAAGATATAAAATTAACTCTATATACATACCCCTTAAAAATTCCTATACCTAATGTGAATGTTTCAAAGAAGAACAACAAAATCTAATTAAATTTTCTTCTTCCGAAGAACTCTCGATGTCACTATCGCCACTTCCTAAGTTTATTATAATGGGATTAATATCTTCTTGACGGTCTATTTGGACTTCGGATGTTAAATAACTGTCTTATATTTTAATTGCATGATGACATCGTTTTCTCCACTCATCATCATCATTGGTGCTGCAGCCCTATAAAGGAGCCTCGACCTTCCCAAGTCTATTACGCCAGTCAGGTCTATACATTGCCGACTGTTGCCAGTTTGCTGCGCCTATTTTTCTACCATCCTCATCTACACCATCCCTCGATCTGAGTTTTGGCCTACCTCTACTTCTACTTCCCACAGGTTGTGACATAAGGATTCTTCTAGGAAGGTTGTTCTGTTGTGATCTTGCCAGATATCTTGCACATCTTAGTCTTCGTATTTTTATAAGAGATACTACGTCTTTACCACCAAATATATATTTATATCTGTGATATATCTCGTAGTTGTACCTCCTTCTCCAAACACCATTTTCACAGATGCTACCGAATATTCTTCTCAGGATCCTTCGTTCAAATATAAGCAGGAGGTTTTCATCTGCCTTGGAAATGGTCCATGTCCCCGATCCATATGTCAACACTGGTTGTATAAGGGTTTTGTATATGGTTATTTTTGTTTTTTGGCTTAAGTTTCTGCTTCTTATATGTCTACTCAATCCAAAATAGCATTTGTTTGCTAGGATTATTCTTCGCTTGATTTCCTCCGTCATGACGTTCTATTTGGTGATCAGGGAGCCTAAGTATGTGAATTTGTCCACCACTTCAAAGGTAGAGTTATCAACAGTGAATTGGTGTCCGATGTTTCTGGCTCTATTGTTGGGTGTTGATGCCATTATCAGGTTCACTATCAGATGACAGCGTATCTCCCTGTCGCAGCCCAATATGCGTTTTAAATGTCTGTGATTGTTCGCCCTATATTTCTACTTTGCAAACAACTTTACGCATTGTAGCCTTAACCAATCTTATCAGTTTATCGGTGATGTGGAATTCATCCATGGCTTCATACAATTTATTTCTTAGGACACTATCATAGGCCGATTTAAAATCTACGAAAAGATGGTATGTGTCGATATTGAATTCATTGGTTTTTTCCAGTATTTGCCTTAGCACAAAGATCTGGTCTGTTGTTGATCGACCAGGCCTAAAAATCTTTGATATTCGCCAAGAAGCTCCTCTGAATATGCACTCAGGCGACTATATAAAATACTCGAATTTGTTTTGTCGTTTTCTCCACTCATCTGGGGTTATTTCGGAAACTCGTTTTTCCAACAGGTGTCTCACATCTTCCAATTTAAAAGTTATGTTATTTTGTGCAATATTATTTTTAATCACAGCCCATATTAGCTATATCGGATTTAAATCCGGATGATATGGAGGTAACCGTAATGGAGTGTGACCATATTCATGCAAAAGTTCATCGAATTCATACCTTTTGAAACGATTTTTATGGTACTTAATCAATGCATACAATTCGGGTTTAAAACTTTGATGATTAAATATTAAATTGTTTTTAATCAGCCAATCAATCATATAATTTTTTTTGGAGTTACTATTAGGCACATGATTCACTTGTACCGAATGGTATCAGGCATTATCGCAAACAACTACTGAGTTAGGGGGTAAATTTGGAATGAGTTTTTCCTTTAGCCATTTGCGGTAATTCGTGGCATTTATTTCTAAGTGGTAGTCACCGGATTTACTAACAGAATAAATATTAAAAGCTCGTTTGGAATAAATCCCATTTCACCACCAGCATGCACTATTATTAAACGTTGAACATTCGAAATGTTTTTCAGTAACCCTTTACTAGAATATTCATTCCAAGTTTTCGACAAAATATGTTCACTGTGTACATATGTCTCATCGAGGTAAACAATGGGTCTGTTTTCGTTTCTATAATGTTTGATACAAGTACAAAGTACAATATTGTCAATATTTGATATGATCAATATTGTCAATTTGAGTACAGTATTGTCAAGAGAAAGAACTAGTAATCACAAACACCTTTTATCAATTACCACCAAGAAGATTCTATTGTTACGATTTTAAATATTTTGTAGTAATTTCGGAGCTCATAAATGTTACCTGGCGACAGAAAATACTAGACCCTTCGAATATCCTCCTCAGGTACCGAATGCTGACGGCGACCCAAATTCCAAATTTACCGAAAGGCGATCAGACTTTTCTAGACTAGTTAAATGAGTCATCTAGTGAATGAAACAATCGATGCATGGCCAGATGTTTCGAGATAACACCACTTTATATATAAATAACACGGAGCTTTTATTGAAAAGTCAGTAAGAAAATAAATTCGGGGCTCGGTATTTAAATGTACGAACGTGATAAATGATTGTAAAGTAATTTAATAAATTGATAATAAATTATCGTGAGTTTTAATAAATTAGAATAAAGACAATAAATTAGGACTAATAAAATCATTATACTATACTTGGAGTGCACCAGAAGACAACAATAATAATCTGATAAGAAACCAAATCGATTACATTCTTGTCAACAAAAGATTTAGAAATGGAATTAAAAGCTTTAAAACATATCCTAGTGCTGATGCAGACTCCGACCACAATCTACTTCTTGCCAACGTTAATATTAAACTGAGAAAACAACAGAAAAAAAGTAAAATTCAGAGACTAGATTTGTCAAAGCTTGAGGGTGAAAAATGTCAACAACAAATAAATGAAGTAGTTGCACCAGCATTCGCAGAGGCGTCAAAAAAAGATATTAATAGTGCCTGGAACGAAATGAAATCGGCAGTACTTAACGCTGGTAAAACGTTTGTGGGTAAAAAAGAATCAATTGCCAAAAAAGATTGGATGACACCAGATATTATAAACCTCATAGAAGAAAAACGAAAATACAAATAAAGAGAAGTGCAAGCAAATGAAGAAACTAGTAGAAACGCAGATCAAGGAAGCTAAAGAACACTGGATGGTAGAAAATTGTAGAGAATTAGAAGAACTTGTAGAAGAAATTGTAGAGAAATTACAGGAAATAATCGGAAGAGAATACCAAGTTATACGAAACTCCAAGGGGGATCTCCAATTATCAGCAGTAGAAAAACAACAAACTTGGGAGAAATACATCAAGGACTTATTCGCATATAATAGGGAAGAAAGAAATGATACATTACCAACTAATGAAAATCTAAAAATTCTGATATCAGAGGTTAAACAGGGAAGTAAAATCTCAAAAAGTGGTAAAGCGCCAGGTCCCTATGAAATTCCTGTAGAGATATTAAAAATCCTGAATGATGAAAATATAGAGTGTCTAACTAAATTATTTAATAAAATATACCACGATGGTCAAATCCCGGATGAATGGTTAAAATCTATTTTTTTACCCTTACCCAAGAAAAATAATCCTAAATCTTGCGATGAGTACCGATTAATTAGCCTTATGAGCCACACTTTAAAAATACTACTCAAAGTTATTCAGCAGCGTATATATAAAAAATGTGAAGAACAATTAGACAATACACAGTTTGGATTTAGATGTGGAATGGGAACAAGAGAGGTACTGTGCGCAATGACGGTACTATTACAAAATGCAGGGAATTTAATAAAAACGTATTCATATGTTATATAGATTTCCAAAAAGCTTTTGATACAGTCCAACATGGTAAACTCATACATGCATTGAAACACATACACCTAGATACAAGGATATTAATTTAATCAACAATCTGTACTACAATCAAACAGCGGTCGTACGGGTGGAAGATAGTGAGACAAACCAGGTGGAAATTCAAAGAGGAGTCAGACAGGGATGTGTGCTGTCGCCACAATTATTTAATGTGTACTCCCAACTAATATTTCAGGAGGCACTATGGGAAAGAACTAAAGGTGTAAGGATTGGAGGGAGCATTATTAATAACATAAGATTTGCAGACGATACCGCAATCATGGCAGAGAATATAGACGATTTACAAACTCTCCTGAAAATCATTAACAGAGAAAGCAA